TAAAAATATTTAACTTTGATAAACTTTACCTGCTTGAGACAGCAAAAATGATGTATCAAATTACTCTGACAAAAACTTCTCTTGAAGGCGAGTTTGTAAAAACAAAAAATGTACACAATTATAATACACGGCAATCTTCTTCTGAAGGTTTTCTCTTCCATCCATCTCTACAAACTTTAAAAAAACTTTCTCATTTCGATGGTATTAAATTTTGGAAACTCCCTACCTATAGAGTTAAAAAAGATGGATAATAAACACCACTTTGTGAAACAGATGAAATATTTTCTTTTGAACAAAATTTGACATCTGTAGGCTTGATTACTTTATGATTATTTTATAATTGCACTTAGCTGTTATTACAATATTACACATAGTCTTATTTTTTATTTCGTCTTCTACTTTATTTTATTCTTGTTAAATCTTACTGTTATTATTCAAACTTAAAATCGTCATTATAAACACATGTCAATTTGGATACATGGCTCGATAGCTTGCCCAAAGTTCTTTCCATGTGTTCATCAGCCTAAAATTGTTTAATTCTCATTGCTGTTCTATAAAAATATTGCGGTTGGCCATTCATTGTTATTTAGCCATATTATCTTGGATATTTTATATTTAGTATAATTATGTTACCGGTATATTGTAATTAATCAATTTTATGTTGAAAAAATATTTTGAGTTTGAGTTTAATGACGTTGAGTCAATCATTTTCCTGTCCGCAAGCAATAGAAATCGGTACCCTAATTACAGGTAACAAGCATGTCATATATATATATATATAGGTATATATATGCGTTCCCCGCTACCCACTACATAGTGTACTCAATTCTCGTACAAAAAAGCGGGCGGACCTGAACAATCCGTAGAGGTACCATGTTTTGGTTGATGTCATATTTCTGGAAAGCGTTCCCTGGCCCTACAATCTTGGCAAAAAATAGCTGAGACTTTTTTTTAAAAATTGAAGTCAAATGTCTTTTTATTTATAACATGCTCTGGTAGCCCACACCCCCTTCCCCCCGATGTCAATGTTGGGTTTTATGATTGCGGTATAACTGGGCATGAGCGCGAGCAGAATTACTCTCATCACAACATTGAATTGGGGGGACGGGGGCTGTGATGTTTGAAACTAGCTCAATTTTCTGCGAGTGCTCAGCATTTTTGCCAGGGGTGTAGGCGACCTGTGATTCGTTGATGCAATCAAAAAGTCCTCGACATGTATGACACGAGGTTATCGGATTATCCGAACCGGATAATTCATCTATGCCTAGAATGGTTTAAATGAATATTTTCAGCTAACCTGCCGAAGTTCCTTTCAGGCGTTTAAAAAAAGGTTCACTATGTGCGGTGAAGTTTGCAAAGTCGATTACTCTAACTGCTTTTCGTAAGTTATGTTTTAAAGGTTCCAGGGTAGTTTTATTAGCACAACCCCAATTTAATATACCATATAGTACATGTGATTGAATGAATGAGGAGTATAAAGTCTTTAGAGATTGTTTTGGTACCAGATTTCTTAATTTATATAGCACTCCGATTCCTTTTGATAATTTTAAATTTATTTGCTTTATATGCAATTTCCAGGTAAGCTTATTATCAATTATTACTCCAAGATATTTAGTGTAATTTTCTTGTTTGAGATCTCTGTTATTAATTTTTAATTTTATGTTTCTATCAGTTTTACGAGAGCTTATCAGCAAGAAGTTCGATTTAGATACATTTAGCGATAGCTTATTAGCCAATAACCACACAGATACCCTTTGTAACTCCGAATTGGTGGTCATTACGAAGTCAACGATGCAAAGAAGTATTGTATCGTTGCCAGAAGGGAAGTTGGCACGGCTCCTCGCGAAAACAATCAATCCTTTGTGGCATAATGTGATTTAAGAAACGGATATAGTGGCAATGAAAGTTTTGATTCGTAAAAGTGTATTGCTATTGTCTGTTTTGCCATTGTTTTTCTTCGCATACCAGAGCCCTGTGCTCCTACCTTGAAGATACCTCCGCGCGTACTCTAGCGCTCCAATGTGCCTAAGAGTTTTGCACTTCGCGACAGAAAAGATCTTACAAATCGTGTCACGTAAACTAATACTTAGCAACGTAATAACACCACCATTTCTTATTAAAGCAAGTGAACAAATTATTACTATTTCTGTCATCGCAACAAACAGCTAAATTTCGCGGCACGGCGTTTCTGCCCTCAGGTGCTGTAGGTGGAAGGTTCCAAGATCATCGCATCAGTCAATATTGAAAACTTTATAACGGTTTCCATTCCAAAAAGCAACTCAAGTATGAAGTAGAACCAACCAAGGGCATAGCAGGGGCTATGAAACTACCTGCAAAGCATCAAAAGAGTACCGGCATTCTTCGTACACAGATACAGGATACGAGAGGCAAATTACTCCAAGAAAATCTCGTACACCTTTTGTGAAAATCCTATTGTTTTATCTTAAAATCCCCGGAAATCCTTTTGTTTTAGGGAAAATCTCGTACACTATTTTCAAAAGTGAATTGCCCCTCGACAGGATACCTATGTTAGTACTTCTGCTAAGTCTGTTTGCAGAGTAAGCGTAAAAATTTCTAGACAAATTCTTAAATTCTGCAACATTTCTACTGATAATAAATACTTTTTAGTGTTACAGTCAATGTTTGATATTTTTTGTTTGGTGCAGTGAATAGCCTTTCTTTCTGGTCATGGGCGGCATGCAGTGAACTCCAGTGCAAACATGCCCATTTGCTAATTTTCAAATGAGTCATGTTTTTAAAGATTTGCTTGTTGGAAGATTGTAGCATTGAAATTATGCCAAAAAGTGGTCTTTCAGCTATTCGAAAAAGGATATGATCTCAAGAACTTTCTAAGGACTACAACCATTATTGTCCCACATCATGCTTGACTTCCCTTAAAGGATGGTATTGGTATTTTATATGCAATTGAAACTAATTCTTTAAAGTTGCTTCAAATTGAAAGGCATTTTCTCAGGTTGCAAATTTTAAAGCCTGTGAGTGTGCTTTTCAGTTGAAATTTAAGGGGTGAAATAAAATTGAACAGTTCCTGCATTTCTCAGTAACCTGCTATGTACCTTTTCTTTCAGGTGATATAGGTTGTGAATTAAGTAGACATGCATCACAGGTTTACTTGGCAACAAAACATGGAAATTTGATCCTTAGCCGGTTAAACTTTTCTGGCTATCCACTAGATGCAAAAATACTTAGACGCTCAACAAACTTGGTGCCATCCTGTTTGAAAAATAAGTTCATTCCAGTCATCTGCAACAACATATTCAACCATGCAAATTTTGGATTAGAAAGAGATGCAGCAGACCCATCACCTCACAGTGTGCCTCTTATAAATGATGAGATTGCAACAAGAATCTCTACAGGGTCTCTCTTAATAAAGCCTGCTGTGATGAAGACAAAAGACAGAAAAGTTTACTTTAATGATGGAACTTTTGTTGATAATGTTGATACTCTTATTTTGTGCACTGGTTATAAACGGGAATTCAAGTTTCTGAAGAAAACAGATTTGGTGGATATGGGCATAGGTGAGAAGTATCTTGGCCTCTACAAATATATATTCCCCACTAAACATATCGGAAAAATTGCATTCATTGGTATGACTGGTGTTTCTGGAAGTGTTTGTCCAGTCTTTGAAATGCAGGCTCGGTATGCAGTGGAAGTATTTAAGGGTACCATGAAATTACCATCAGACACAGCAATGAACAAGAATGTTAGCAAATCCATGGAACACTGGAAACAAATCAGGAATAAGGCCAGTGAAATGATGAGGGTAAAATATTTTTTCTTACAAGTCTTAATGACAATGTGGTTTTGTAATTGATTTTTCAAGGAAAATAATTGTTGTCTCAGAAAGAAACTGGACCGACACAAACTGATTTTTCCTATTGCTTGCAATCTCAATTGAAAGCAAAGTTTGAAGTTAAAACATCACTTGAAGAATTTCTAGTTGTTCTAAAAATGCCCATGGTTTATAATGTTTGAATCCATGCCTGCCAAAGATCATTCATTCTGTTTAAGGCTATTATGCTATCAATTTGCTTGGACCAATGAAAATGTGTACCATATGCCTCTCTTGGTGCTTCACAACATTTAATCAAAATTTTATATATCATATATTGCATAACAAGTTTCCTTCAAACTCTTTTCATGAGACTTTTTCTCTAAATTTAATTTATCTTTTGATTCAAGACTGGCTTATTACCATAAGTGGCATGAATGTTCCTCCTACAAAACACAATATGCAATGTTAAAACAACATCATCAATTTTTATTGCACATGTGCATGATGCAAAATTTTAAAATCCAGCAGCCCCTCAGACCGATGCTGGCTGGTCTCCTCAACATACTATTCTTGGTTTAACCCTTGCTAAATGGGCAAAGTCATGAGGTAAAGTACTAAAAAAGAGAGTCATGAATGCAGTCAGCAACACATGTCTCAGTTTTATCTCAATACAAATCTACGAGATGCGGATTTATGTAAAATAAATGGCATAGATGATGAATAAGTTGTGCCTTAGCAAAGTGATTTCTCACAGTCTTTGGCAATACTCTTTTTTCAAACTGCGGATAGAAACTGCTAATTTATTTCTCAATGGGAACATAGAAATATGTTTTTATTTTTCAATGGTAACACAGGAACATTGGTTGCTTTTTCTAAGGAAACACAGGAACAAGTACCCACCCCCACCCCTTGAGCAAGAACCAAGATATTGGGGGCCAGGGGGCCTTATTCCCCCATAAAAACATAAGTATCATAAGTAAAATACTTTTATTTTGTAAAATATGGCTGCTGTTACACTTATTTATCAGGGCTGCCCCCCCCCCCAAACAAAAAGTTGTGTCTGGGTCTTTGCCACTGGGAGATCCTATATCTACGGAATATTCTCCATGAATGAATGGATATGCAACTGTGTAGTGTCACCTCAGGAGGCATAAAATATTCAAGTAGCTACCCCGCCAGAGTATCACCTTGTTTCTAGCCAGAGGTGTACAACTATGAAAAAAAGAGACTTGCTGAAAATGGTACTTTTCTGCACAAAAATTAGGCAACCATACCCACCTCCACTGGTCAGGCTATGCCACTGATACATTGTTATGCTTGCAGGTAAATTTCATCTCTTATCAAGATGAGCTGGCTTCAGAAATTGGTGTAAAACCCTGTTTATGGAGTTTGCTGCTTAAAGACCCAGTTCTTGCATGGCATTTGTTTTTTGGCCCAGCATGTCCATATCAGTACAGACTATCAGGTCCAGGTGCCTGGGATGGAGCACGGGATACCATTCTCACCGTTGACAAAAGAATATGGTACCCTTTGAATAAAGAATTTACAGTGAAACAGTCTACATTCTCATATTTTGCAGTTCTTGCAATTCTGTGTTTGATCTTTGCAGTCATAAGTATACTTTGAGAAGTTAATTTTTTGCAAATAATAAAATAGCCAGAATTTATAATTACTTGGTGTTTGCTTGAAGTTGCTATCCTTGATGAGCAGTATATGTGGAGCATTAAATTGTTTCAATAATAATAAAAATAATAAAACACAAACATGCTATAGATCAGTGGTATGGTGGCAGACAGTGGTGAAGCCAGCTCTGGAGAGTTGGTCATGCACTTGGGCAAAAAATAAACAGGGTTTTTGGCACCACAGCAATGTATCCAATTTAAGTTGATGTTAGACCAGTTCCCTAAAGAAAAGTGTTTTCAGCTATTGTGAAAATACCCAGAAAAGCCTTAGGGCATAAAACATTTAAAAATTTGCAAAAGAATAATTTTCAGAACTTTCTTGAGACATGTTTTGAAGAAGCCTTCGAACAGAGTGCACTTGTAATCCGGAGTTGTCACTTGCAATACGGACATAGACATAATCTGTCTAAAGATTTCATGGACAGAACCTCATAGACAGAATATGGAGTATTAGCCAATCAGATAGTAGTTTTCTATTTGAAGAAATAGCGCATGGCAGGGTTCCAAAATATGTGTTAACACCTTGTTCAGGTGTCATCAAGTATTTGCTCATAGATAACTGTTTGCATAAAAGCTCCATGTGGTCTGAAGGAATGCACAACTAAGTAGGAAAGACAAAAGAGATGTACTTCCGTGCACTGCAACATTCTTAAACCTGCCTCTGCCTTATCAACATGCAACAAGAAGCGACATCAGTAAAATATAATTTGTTTCATGCCCTTGTCTTTCCTACTACTAAAGTACCATGAGCCCCCTAGAAAAAATCCAAAACAATCTGATGCACTAAGCGACGATTAATTATGATTTTAACTGCGATTTCAAATTTGCCTTCACTCATTCAAGCTGGGCATCGACATCTTCGTTTGAAAATCCCAATGCCGTAGAAATCACAACTGACTTGAACCGTGTAAGATAAAAGAAATCGTACGTTTTCCCGAAATTATGGGGCTTGGAAACAACTGAAAGTGTACGTCCAACCTATCCGACTCGACATGGAAATTTTATTTCAAAAATCTGATAATTTGACCTAATTGAAAAAACCCTTCCAAACGAACTTTCTATCGATAAAACTGAAAGTCCCTTACCCGTGGCAATGGAAATAAAAAACTCGTATAAAGATCTTGTAAAGACTTACCAAATAAACTCTTTCTGCCGTAACTTTCCTGTATATCTTGAGATGCAGTTTACAAGAGCAACAAAACATAAATGAAGGCCTTTACAGTGTACCCGCCAAATATGAGGCATATTTCGCGCCAAATCCTACAGCTTTCAATTTAACTGGTTCACATAGACATATTCGTTCTCCTTATTTGTTTTCTAGTGGATGAGCTGCAATAAAGAGCTCTCATTGGTAGAACCTTTTTGACCACAACTTTTGATTGGGTATTGGGAACTTTTCAGTCTACCTACGGACAGAAAGATCCCTTTCTGCTCAGCTGATTAGTCAAAATATCTGTCAACCACGGGAATCAACGATCAAAATGACCCATCTTATTATGCATAAAAGTAGTAAAATCAGTGGCGTGCTTGCAGAGGGAGGGGAGGGGGGGCGAAATATCAGTATTCATTTAATTTAACTTATTTTTACTTTTATCTCTAAGATTGGATTCTCGTCGCCGTTTTGCTTTGTTTCTGAATTTTACTCGTAAATAACTTTCAGTCAGTAGAAAATTTATTTCAGAGAAAGCTTGCGTTTTTGAAAATTGCTTCAAAAGGTGCATTTCCCAGCCAATTAGATTCAAACAAATTTGAAAGTTTTCTTTTTCTTCGGCGGCAACCATGGTGCTGCCCCTGAAAGATAGTTATACCCTGGGATTGTTCCGATATGTAGCTCTAAAGGGTTGGAAGTTACGAAATCTTATAGGTATTGTCCAGATCCTCCCATGAGTCTAGAGCGATGTTGTAAATATTTGGATGCATTTTCCTATAATCTCTAGAAGGTCTTCTATGCAAATTATTGCCGCCAACCATGGTGACGACTTTCACTAAACTCTTGAACGATCTTAGTGCCCCCTCCCTACCCTCAACTTCTCTAAATAGTGAGGTCCATGGTTATCACTATTTTGCAGTTTGATGCTGCTGCAACGATACTGAAAATACTGTTAGGTATTGCAAAGAATAACATTCTCTATTTGAAAATTTTCTATAACGTCCCTGAAATTGACTACCCTATCCCCTCTCATTTGAAGGGTATACCCTGGGTACCAGAGCCACAAAACTTCCAGCACGTAAACAGAAGGCCAAGCAGACAAGCGAAGGGCCCTGGTACCCAGGGTAGCAGGGGTAGTTTTATTTGTTATGTACTAAAATGCAAAATGGATACAAGTTTATTCGTGTCTTATCATTCTTATCTATCAAACTATTCGGTGAATATTAACCTGGTTTGTTATGATTATGTTTAGCCAAGTACTATGCACGCGACACTATTTTTTTATATGTATTTTAAGGGGCTCCAAATAACTTTGGGCCCAGGGCCCCAACAAACGTAAATGCGGCCCTGGTCTGTTCCCTTTTTTCATCTAATAAAAAGAATGTTGCATAAGCTCTGTTTAGGAAAAAAAAAATTGTAAGGACACTAGCCTTAAAATTGGTCAAATGTTTAAAACAAATCGAGAACAAGCTGAAGCTGAGCTACTTTAAAATTTTAGTGGAAGTTTTTGCCATCAAGGGGTGCTTTTTTCGGTGAATTTACAAGCTTGTTAGCAAATAGAGTATGTATCACCCCTTTGTTGGCATATGAGGCCTGGACACTACCCCCTCCCAAATTACAGCACGCTAGATTACGAAAATCCAGCATCGAATTTTCAGAAAGGACGAATTTAAACAACAATGTTTTGAAGAGTGTTAAACACTAAGTGGATTTTAGTGCCATACCTTTCAAGTTCATGGAAAATCATGGAAACCCTTGTTTCCAAGTTCGGCTTTTAATTTTATGGTAAAGGATAAAAAAGGTAAATAAAGCAAAAACCGAACAGAAGCAAAATTTACCAAATGACACAAAAATATTAAGGGGAACGACCCCCCCCCCCCTTCGAGATCAGGGCCTCCGGCCAAAGGGGCCATGCCCCTCACCTTTTTACAAAGCAATAGAGCATTTTTAAAAATTTTTATTATTGATAAAAATCTTTCTTGCCCCCCTCCCCACTTTTCAACCTGCGTCGGAGCCCCTGGCTGAATGCGAGGAAAGTATTACGCAATCCAGACCAGACCGATTCTCTTCTTAAAGCGAGGGAATTTGAAAATAATCAGATACAGCGAGCTAGTCTTGTAATGCGAAGAGGGCATCATGGTATGAAGCAGTGAAAGCAGACAGATTCTGTCCAGAGTAGACAGATTCTGTCCAGAGTGGACTGATTCTGTCTATGAAGCGCGGGAATTTTAAAATAATTTGATACAGCTAGCCTTGTAATGCGAAGAGGGCATCATGGTATGAAGCAGTGAAAGCAGACAGATTCTGTCCAGAGTAGACAGATTCTGTCCAGAGTGGACTGATTCTGTCTATGAAGCGCGAGAATTTTAAAAAAATTTGATACAGCTAGCCTTGTAATGCGAAGAGGGCATCATGGTATGAAGCAGTGAAAGCAGACAGATTCTGTCCAGAGTAGACAGATTCTGTCCAGAGTGGACTGATTCTGCCTATGAAGCGCGGGAATTTTAGAATAATTTGATACAGCTAGCCTTGTAATGCGAGGAGGGCATCACGGTATGAAGCAGTGAAAGCAGACAGATTCTGTCCAGAGTAGACAGATTCTGTCCAGAGTGGACTGATTCTGTCTATGAAGCGCGGGAATTTTAAAATAATTTGATACAGCTAGCCTTGTAATGCGAAGAGGGCATCATGGTATGAAGCAGTGAAAGCAGACAGATTCTGTCCAGAGTAGACAGATTCTGTCCAGAGTGGACTGATTCTGTCTATGAAGCGCGGGAATTTTAAAATAATTTGATACAGCTAGCCTTGTAATGCGAGGAGGGCATCACGGTATGAAGCAGTGAAAGCAGACAGATTCTGTCCAGAGTAGACAGATTCTGTCCAGAGTGGACTGATTCTGTCTATGAAGCGCGGGAATTTTAGAATAATTTGATACAGCTAGCCTTGTAATGCGAAGAGGGCTTCATGGTATGAAGCAGTGAAAGCAGACAGATTCTGTCCAGAGTAGACAGATTCTGTCCAGAGTGGACTGATTCTGTCTATGAAGCGCGGGAATTTTAAAATAATTTGATACAGCTAGCCTTGTAATGCGAGGAGGGCATCACGGTATGAAGCAGTGAAAGCAGACAGATTCTGTCCAGAGTAGACAGATTCTGTCCAGAGTGGACTGATTCTGTCTATGAAGCGCGGGAATTTTAAAATAATTTGATACAGCTAGCCTTGTAATGCGAGGAGGGCATCACGGTATGAAGCAGTGAAACAGACAGATTCTGTCCAGAGTAGACTGATTCTGTCTATGAAGCGCGGGAATTTTAAAATAATTTGATACAGCTAGCTATAACTTTAAAACCCTCTGCAATAATGTGAGGAGAGCCCATGGTATGAAAAAGTCGAAGTTGACAGATTCAGTCCAGGATAGGTGTAATTTGTCTTTGGAATGTCTTAATGAGAGAGGGCAAATTTAAAATCGCAGTTAAAATCATAATTAATCGTCGCTTAGTGCATCAAATTGTTTTGGATTTTTTCTAGGGGGCTCATGGTACTTTAGTAGTAGGAACGACAAGGACATGAAACAAATTATATTTTACTGATGTTGCTTCTTGTTGCATGTTGATAAGGCAGAGGCAGGTTTAAGAATGTTGCAGTGCACGGAAGTACATCTCTATTGTCTTTCCTACTTAGTTGTGCATTCCTTCAGACCACATGGAGCTTTTATGCAAACAGTTATCTATGAGCAAATACTTGATGACACCTGAACAAGGTGTTAACACATATTTTGGAACCCTGCCATGCGCTATTTCTTCAAATAGAAAACTACTATCTGATTGGCTAATACTCCATATTCTGTCTATGAGGTTCTGTCCATGAAATCTTCAGACAGATTATGTCTATGTCCGTATTGCAAGTGACAACTCCGGATTACAAGTGCACTCTGTTACTTGGCTTTAGATTAATATTTACTATTTCAAGAGCTGTTTTATTCACCTGAATAAACTGTCAGATACTGAAGGAAGGCTTTTTTAGATAACATAACACAGTTAGATTTGATTCTCACAACATTATATAAATGTCTAAATTGTTTTGCTCTGATAAATACACTGACAAGACAAAGATAAGATAAATACACTTTTGCTCTGACAAGATAAATACACTTTTGATGACCCTTCCCTAATTCCTTACTTAGAACTATTGTATTTATAAGTACAAATAGTGTAATTGTACAAATAAAAAAAATTAATGCCCCCTAGTCTATGTTCATGCTACACCTCATTTTTTTTAATTCATTATTCTTAATCTATCAAAACAGATTATAATCAGAAAATGGAGAGTTCTCCTCTGAAACAATCTCAATACTCTCATCTCACAAACATCAATAACAAAAAAGGCCATTATAAGATAAATACTGAAAAGGTTAGGACAACACTAATTTCATGCCTCGTTGTATCTCAAACTTGCATTGCATGTCTCTAAAAAGCAACAACAATGAAGCAGTTGTGTTTCTTCTACTAACAACAAGTTCTAGAGACACTCATTCTGAATATTTCAATGGAAATTTAGCATGTAAGTCCACTAGCCATTCCATTATCAAAGCATGGAATACTTTGGGCTTGCCAATTATCAGCACAGCAATAAAATGATATTAAAACCAGGCAGTTTGTTTCATTTTTTTTCTTGCAATATAAGCGTTGCCTGCCTTATTATCAGGCGCCGTGGCCTAGTTCGTGCATGTCATATCCTCGTTGACACAGGCCTAAATATATGTGTTAGCAAACATAGTCCACAACAGGAAGAATCTGTTCCACTGTCAACTTTTATTTTGCTACATCAATGCTTTAAAACCATGGAACTGTTATTTTTCCTCATTTCGTTGCTGCTATATTACTTGCAGGGTAACATTTCACGAAATCCCTTTCCTCGTGAACTAGCATACTTCCTCTTCAGCTTTAGTCTCACTTTTTGAACTCGAACAGGGTTGCCAGGTGGTATGGGTACTAAGTAGCCAAACCGTTTACGAAAATAGGCCAAGTCACATCAAAATAGGCCAAATTTACCCATAACACAATGACGTCATAATGCGCAGGCGCAGTAAAAGCAAGCTTTGTTTGCAGTGTATCCGTTGCCCTTTCCATCAACAGACTCTGTAAGCCAAACATATTGCGCTTCCTAAGACTTCTTGTACTTCCTTGCACTGTAATATCTACCTTGCCACTTGGTCGACATGAATTAGAAACTCGAATTGTAACTTTTTACAATTGTGTAGATCAATCTCTCCGCTTATGCGTGTTACTGATTACTAAAAATATGCCAATTCTATTTCAAAATGGGTTTGAAAAAAGCAAACATTTTCAGTCATACTAAAGGTTCTATTTAAGTACTCTTCAGAGCATTAAACGTTAGAACATAGGTCGAAAACGTAAGTTTTGTACTACTAAAAGATTGTTTGCAAATTCTATTTAAATAAATTATCCATGGGCACGGACACAGGTTGAAAGAGGGGAGGAGGGGGAGCTAAGGGAAACTTTAGCAGCCATGGCAGGAGATTTTGAAAAAAAGCTCTATTGTTTTGGAGGAAAGTGGGGGGCATGGTCACTCGGCCCCTCCTTCGTCGGAGGCCCAGTTATTAAAGGGAATACTCAAAAAGTAAGTCAATAAAATGTTGAAAAAATAAAGTATAGCAATGACTTCACGTCATTCCATGAGAAATTCAGACACTGATCCATTTGGATTAAATCAATCTGAACCATTTGGACTAAATCAATCTGAACCATTTGGATTAAATCAATCTGATCCATTTGGATTTAATCAATGCCACCTCAAATGTCTGTCTGGTCCATAGACATATTATGATTATCCATTTTATGATTTTATGGGGTTTTAATCTCATTTTCGAATATCCTCTAGGAAGCCAAAAAATAGCCTAAATGAGGCAAGAGGCCAATGGTAAAATTTCGTAGCCAAGCATTCTTAAAAAAGGCCAGATTTCTCAAATTTGGCCTCCCAGTAGGCCAGTTGGCAACCCTGAACTCGAACAGGGAAACGATGCGATCAAGGTCATGGTCATGCCATTCCAAAAGTGCATGACTAAAACGTAATAATCATCATGTTTTCAGGGCTGTTTCCATTGTTTCGCGTGGTTTTGCATGACCAAACATAGGGTTTTAGTCATGCACATTTGAAAGTGCATGACTAAATTGGGATCCCTGTGATATTTGCATGACTAAATTGGAAACCCTTGAGCGTTATTGAGTTTCAAATGTAGAACCCTATGTTTGCGCCTACAGAGTTACATAAAAGTACGCAAAGAATAATTTTCTTTGATTTTGGAGAACTTTCAATGTGAAAAAACCCCATCTAAACTATCTAGAGATTTTGTCTTAGAGTAAAAAATAATTTTCTGGAAATCTTTTTGGTCATGCTTCGCATGACCTGCATGTCCTCTAGCTTCACCACTGGTGGCAGAGGGCACATGGGATATTCCATATCAAGTGTACCCAGCTTGTAAAGTGACCCTTGATTTTGCTGATAATATGCATAAGTGTAGGGCTCTATAAGAAAAGCTCACACCCAAAATTTTAGGATTCTAGGTCAACTTGTTTCAAAGTTATGATGGGTCAAAAATTGCAAAATTTCCAAAATCAGGGGCATTTGGACCACACCCAGATGCTCATCGTTTCTGTTCTGTAGCACCTACAACAAAAATTTTGGTATCAAATGAAAGCCCTTGTAATTCTGAATCTGACTAGACAACACAAAAATTCTGTCTCTCCAGTTTACTTACAAAAATAGTGCACCAAGATTTCAAATGTTGACCATGCCCAGGGGTCAATTTTGATTTTGATGAAAAAATTTTCAAATTCTCCTATTTGTACACAAAATTGTAACCATACCACAAAATTGATACAGAAAGTTTCAGAGTGGGGTAAGATTGGGTTTTTACACAATGACTCATCTATAGCTAGGTAGGTGTAAAAATGCCATTTTTAAAGTTTTTCTATACTGGAGCTTGTCGTTTCACAAAATGCTACCAGCTCATTGAAGCTAAGTGTAATGTAACAAAAACAACCGCAAAAATTATTGCTATATCAAGATTTGGCTGTAATGAAATACTAAGTTCAATCCTGATTTAATTGAGCTACAAAAAAACTCTTCTCAGATTCACTCTTTGTCAATCCATGCTTATTCAAGAAGATTAAATCATGCTTATTCAAGAAGAACATGGTTTTCGCAGGTCAGCTTCGCGTTGTTTAGCATTTTTTAATGTTGGCCGTTTGCAATGCCCTTGTTTTTAAATTGGTAGTAATTCTTACCAAAAATCGTGATTACAGATAAAAAACCGAGATATTTAGTAAACGCATTTACTTTTTGGGATTTCTATCATTCAAATATTTATCTTAGGAAAGTTTTCGTTTGAAATCTAATGAGCATTTGTAAGTTAAATGCTTGGCATTTTGGAAAATCTCAGCCTAGTTATGATATTAGTCGATGGCATATGAGCCTGTTATTGTTTGGCCAACGTATTCTTTAATGACCTAGTAAAAGAAGGTGAATCAGTCAATCGAGATGTTCTAACTACTGTAAATGGTAATTAGGCAAATGGAACCAAGAAGACATTAAAACATAAGAAAAATAACATTTCAGCTGTTATCTTTGTCCATTTTTATCTTCAACGCTCGCATTCTTGCATAGAGGTCGTCCCAATTGCCGTAGCCTCCTTCCAGCCATCGACTAGAACGAGTTGCGTCATACGGTGTGCGCCCGTGCAGCACCCTTGTGTTATGAAAGGCTAATATATCACCTTCTTCTAACTGGTATTCAAAGAGATACTTTGGATCGTACATCCGTTCGAGGAACACCCCAGTCGCCCTATAGAGTCTTCTTGTCTCTTGTGATGGATAATTCATATACTGAGCTCTCGATGGGTAGTTGTGGCTGATCCTTACTATTTCCCCTCGCTCATTGATCCTGTCGGTGAAAGTCATATATGTCAGTCCAGCAGAAGACCTTAAATAGCTGCCCCTCGGATAAAATTTAGCATGTATCTCTACTTTTCAAAATAGAGCAAAGTTTTGTACATTTTGAAGACGCCCTTTTCGAGAAAGAGACACTTATTTAGTCCACGCAAACATAGTAGGCTAAAAAAAATGTAACATGTTTCCCCCTCTTCTAGCATCGATGCTTTAGAGAACATATGTGTAGAAAAGGAAAATATGATGATGTCGGTTTTCTAGATAAAAGGAGAAGATTGAATTTACTAGATACTTATATCCATTTGCTTCATACCATCAGTTTTTAGCCAAACCTCTAACCCCCCGCCCCCCCCCCCGCCCCCCTTTCACCACGCGAGTACCTCTTCCCTCTAAGATTCTAGGGTTTGAAAATTGGTAGTGATAATTGTGGCAGCACACTGTTCAAGATCCTACGTTTGGAACTTCAACAAAAATGCGCAAAATCCATGCGAGAATATATGCGTTGGATGCAGCTCATCCACATTGAAGCGTGTTTAGCAACACACATTCCTACAACTGGTCAATTTTGTCTAAGGCATATGCGGCTCATTCATTGAAGAAAGGTAAATCACAGCTAGGCCCTATTCTTCCGCCATTACGCCGCAACCTACACAACACGTACGTCTAACGCAGGCAGATTCAATTGACGAAGCCTACCCGATAGGGGTTTTGTCTGCAGCAATGATGAATTCCCCGTATATGTCATCGCCGGGCTGTTCATAGGGAAAAGCTAGTGTCGTGAGTGCTTCAAAATCTTCCGGCTTTTCCTTCCTCAAATCTTCTGCTACTTTGAAACCATCAACCAGTATATTAACAGCCTCATTCTTCGCACTTCCAGAAATACAGTGCAGAAACTGGACCTGTAATAGATTATATTTGAACATTTTAATTTGATATATTTTGTATAATTAGTTTGCATTCCATGGAACCATGAATCACTGAAGAAAGCACGAAAGCACATGTTGGAACATATATTCTAGAATTCTAACTATAATACGTTAACTGTTAAGCTTGATCTGGTTAACGAGTGAGGGATTCAATCAAAATGACAAAATAATAATAGAAACTGTGAAGTCTCAGACAAATGATTTTTGAATATCAACGTTATAAACAAGACAAGATTCGGAATTCAAGTAGCATTTCAAAATGCTAAAAAAGGGGAAAAACAAAATTGAAGATTGCTAAATTGCTCGAGGGCAATGGGAAAGAAGTCCCCCAAGTAAACCACCCCCCCTCCCGTGTCCAAGTGTCCATTTTTTTATAAATTAGTCTTAAAATGGCTTTTAAAAAACAAACATTTGAGTGTACTGAAGCGTTTCGTCTGTCACTCTTCAGAGTATAAAACGTCAGAACATAGACCGAAAACACTACGCTAGGAAATATATATACCCAGTTGTGGATCGAAATAGGCTAATCAGAAACGCGAACAAATAGCTGTTGAGGTTGCCTCTATTAAATTTCGCACTTATGGCCAACCATTTGTAATAAACGCCGCATCTTGAAAAGCGGCGTTCATTAGAAAACAGACCCAACAAGAAATAATGAATAGTTTTTATGCTTACCATTCTAACGCTATCAAAGTTTTCATGTCATAGAGAGGAGGACTCTGAAGGAGACAGTGAAGAGTTTGGCCTTATTTCTTGGCCTTCTTACTGGATTTATTGGACATTCTAAGTTTGGCTGGATTTTAGGATTTTGATGTATTTTGAGGATCCCTGGATTTTGAAATAATTTTAGTGGATTTTTGCAGATTTTTAACAGGGTGTAGGAGGATTTTTGGAGTGATACACCTCCCGAAGCTAAAGAGGGTTTAAACTGAGTTGAACTGTATTCCACAAAATTTGAGTATGTTATGCAGACAACTCACACCAGGCTGGTAGATGTAATACGGCTGATCTGTGTGCAAAGCAAGGTAACCAGATGTGTAGGCAAGGTTATTGGCTCCCGGCTTTTCTTTAACTGTAAACGTCTCTCTAAAATAAGAAAAAACCAATAGCTTTTAGATCTCTTCGAACAACCCCCTTTTCTATTTGAGGCTCGGGCGTTCATAATGTTGTTCTAATTTCAACATTGATTTTCTACAGCACCATACTTTAAATTATTTCTAGTACCACTAAATAACAATTTTGCAAGACGTTTTAGTTATGTGGTTTATTGGCTGATAAAGGTTTAATTTTCAAAAGCACATTGTTTCAAAAGAACACGTAGCATGTAACCAATGTATGGATTTCATTGTTTCTTTAAATAATTCATCAGAAGCTGGGAATGTTCTTGCACTAGTATTAGTTAATAACAAGCAAAAAGTTTGCAACGAGAATTGAAATCAATGAATCTATTCCCCAAGTTGCTTATAGAATCTGTCTCATTCCAGGAACGAAGCACGATACTAGCGCATATGAACACATAGGTTTAATTATTCCAAGGCACTGGACCCTAATTCAACCCAGGGGGAAATCACTTCAAGAAAATCATGTAAACCTTTTGTGAAAATCCTATTGTTTTATTTGAAAATCCCCAGAAATCCTTTTGTTTAAGGTAAATCTCGTACGCTATTTGCAAGAGTGCATTGCCCATCAACTTCAACTGTAGTTACTTCAATCTTTAAACGTTAAATTCAATTCCCGCCAAAGTTGCGCCAAATTTGAAGAGACACGAATACAAACATGGCTCATTTTAATCAAGACTTGAAAGAAGCGTCGGTTTTGTATTTTCAGGAGAGAAATAGTCACAAGAAAAGCAAATTTTGGCGCCATAAATCTGTAAGGCAACAATCAACATGTCCTGGTGCACCTCACAATCACTCCCCAATCTCCCGGCTAGATTTTTGGCTAGCGAATATTTATCATTTGCACTAGCTTCATCGTCATATCCAAAGTCCAACATAACTTCAAGAACACCAGAGTTGCGCTAACACAACACAACATGCGCACTTTGCCGCTCTATGCGTAGTCATGTGACGCAGCGTTTTCAGTTCAACAAAAACTCGACCGCATTTACGTCACATTTGGGAATTGAGTTCGGCAGATCCTGACGGACTTAATTCAAAATGCAGCACATAATTGAAGTTTCACTTTAACTGGTCGGTTTTACGTCTGATTTGGATTCGACGCGACCTAAATGCGGCCTTATAAAGTGAGCCTAAGTAGTATAACAATTCCCTAGAGCGCTCAAATCCTTATAAAACTGCATTCTTAATATGCTTGTCGGGGATTTTGCAGATTTTGCTTTAAGGATAACTGGCTTAGTTTGAAAATTATGCATACTGCTTAACATTTTTAGATATTTGCTTACAACTTTGGAAAACCAGTTTTACACGCAGAGCTTCCTTGCCTTACACAATTCAGAATATAAACGCTAGAACACCTCTGTCTAAGTGCCCCAGCATATCCTGCTCCGGCGAAGGATAATATTTGGCATTTTTGCAAAAGTGGGCTAAAGCCCCCCAGCCCCTTGCTCTGCGGTGCCTGTATTGCCATTTTCATTGACCCAGGGTGGTACTTACATATAGATTTAGGATAGGGGTGCTCAGGTTACTTTTTTGGGCCTAAAGTTTGAGCGAAAGTTATTTTTTTGGGTCAGCCAATTATACAATTACTTTTTTGGGTTCATGAAATACCGAATTATTTTTTTGGGTTTCGAATGTGAGAAAATCTGGTTTCTTCTGGTTTTTGTTTTGAATGTCTTCACTACATTCTCATTCGAACAAAAGCCCATCAAAAGCTCAACACATAACGACATAAACATGGCCCTAACTAGCACCCCAGCCCTTGATAGCAGACTGACTGGAACATTTGAAAGGTTTTTATCCAAAATGCAAATGGAAACTACAAGATGATGCAAATATTTTCTGGGTCAAATTCTATGCTGAAAATTATGTTTTTGGGCTGATGGTTCGTACCCCCGGTTGAGCACCCCTATCCTAAATATATATGAGTATAGGTTCACTGACTTGAGTTTTGGACCAAATTATTTGAATAATTTGAAGGCCATACAAGGTAGTATTTTTAAGAGCTCTAAACACCTCTTGTAGCCTGACGAGTACCAATCCCATGAACAGTTGATTTAGCTGAAAGTAGCCATAAAAGCAAGAAGGAGATAGATTGCAAAGTGCATTATAGATTAAGGTTGTAATAATTGTGTGTAATACTTCTTGTGGCTGATTTTATAGGGATGGAAAATTGGCGAGGGGGAACAAGAAAACGCTTGTATTTTGTAATTTAATGGCTTGCAAAATTTTCCGTTGTAATCGGAATAATGGATAAGATATTATTCGTGGGTAAAGCTCCATGCACCTGAGCTATAGAGGCAGACGAGAATAGGAAGCAGGAAATGATCAGGTAGTCCTAGAAAGCTTCTTGCAAAATTCATGCAATGTGGTAGTTCCACCACTGAATATCATCCATCAGTTTCTCTAAAAGAATTGCATTGCCCTTTGTATAGACTTTCCACCAATCTTTGTGGGGATATTTGACTGTAATTCTGCAGGGAATTTACATGCAAAGAAGAAAAAGAAAGATAAAAGCATTGAGATATAGCAGGAGATCATTATGAAGCTTTACTTGGTCTAGAACAGGCCAATAATGACGCATTAGACACACCCACAGCACGTCAGAAGAGGAAGAGAAAGAAAAAAGCAAACGCTAACTGGAGGAGCTTATCAGTGACACTCTTTTAAGACCAGCGCTTTTTCTGTCCTGGCACCCTTAATTGGATGAAATTTTCTACCGAAGGCAATGATTTCAAGATTTCTTCCATACTAAATCAAAATCAAGAGCCTCCTCTGGTAAAATTGTACCATGTATCAAAATTCTCTACAAAAAAGAAATTCCAAAATGAGAAGATCAGAGGGTTAATTGACAGTTAGTAGTTCAGTTCACATGGCTTTAGAAGTAACGCAAAAATCCTAATTTCAAGACCACGGCAAAATTGTATCAGTTGCTTCTATCTGCTGAAAAATCTATTTGCAAAAATAAAGGTAATTTCTGTCTTGAAAATTGCTTAGAACAGTGTATTTTCCAGCAAAATTCGATCATCAAAATTCGAAAAATTTTTCCTTCGGCGGCAACCATGGTCACAGAATAAGATTCTTAGACTGTGCCATGGTGCTGCCGCCATGGCAGGCGCGGATCCAGCCAAAATTTTGACCGGGTGGTTTTCCCGGTTACGTTTCTGTGTTGTTGGTCCATGAATATTGCCAAAAATTGCTATTGAGGTTAGTAAAATGTGACTAATTTGCCCACCCTTTATCTAAATTGCCGCAATTTTCCCTGTCCATTTGATCCTCTTCTCAGAGACGGGGGGAGAGCTGAAAATGAACCAGGGAGGGGAGCTGAGAATCAAGTTTAGTGATATAGGAGGACCCACCATGGTTGGGTCCGACGACGAAAATTTTTGAAATTCAGCCTTCTAGAATGGCTAAACATTCTTCTTCCAGACTAAAATTTAACAAATTACTATAACCCTCAGAACAGAGAATTCGACGATCTTCAAAAAAACTGCTTCTTGATTTCTAGGACAACATTGGGAGGGGCGGAGTCATTCTAAAACGTTAGTGACAGACGTTGAGGTAAGAAAGGAAGGGTGACCTTTGGTTCAAAGTGCACATCGATGTGAATAACAAGAAGATGTTGTATTGATTGGGAAAAATTTAATTCCTGAACAGAAATGTGCATCTACCTTTTCTCGATTATTGTCAGTAGGCCATGTTAACACATATATTATGCAGTCATTGCAATGACGCAAAAGTTATCTACTGAAATAGTGCAAATAATAGACAATTAAATAAATTATACCCCCAATAGGTTAGTAAATAGATCAAATAAAATCAAGCAGTATATAAACAGTTTGTTCTCCTTTTATTTCATATCTCTTTTTAAAAAGATATAGAAAAGACGTTCAAAAAAATTTTATCTCTGAAAAAGTGAGCGCCCCCAGTGCCCCACCCCCCTCTGGCAATTTCGATTCTAATTTTCATGAATTTTTTCTGAGAGCGAAATTCTAGTCTCACAATACAAGACGTCAGATTCTAATTTGCATCTGTATTCCATTTTGTATCATTTTGTATCAAAGCGGTATCGAATATGCTTTTTAGTCACTGGTTTTTTCGCATAAGGGAAACATATGGGCGCCGGTTTTCACAGGTTTTCAGAAAACAATAACCACCGGTTTCAATATTGGCGCATAAATAGCATACTCTAAATTGTCACTGTGAGGGGCGACTGATTTCTCCGATTTTGAATTCCTCGGATATCGGAATCTTTCCACCAAGGGAGTGCTGTTGTGTGGGGGTTCAATTTGGTAGGTAAAAACTGTAGTCAGTCGGGGAGAGATACAGCGATTGCTGCAATTAAAATTTTAGATAAGATTCAAGATTTACAGAGAAAAATAGTTCTCAGAATTTGACCGGTCTTTTGAAACCTGTGCAACCGGCCTGGATCCGCGCCTGCTCGGGTAGTTACTATGTCTAGCCAGAGCTTGTCCCAATATACAGATCAGATCTTTGGGGTTGAAAGGCCCGTTATTAGTCCGTTAATATTATTTTGGCTTGTCAATGTTTCTACCAAAGGGTCCTGAAAAATTTGAAGTGTGCGATGTTTCCAAACTTTCTACTTACTGTTTGCCAATGTTTGTACACTCCCCTCCCAAAATTATTCGAACGGAAGCCAATGTTGCGACGGTGCCGAGTCAAGTTGATGAAAACAAAAATAAAAGTTAATTGCTTATATTTATAGAATGACAATAGGAATCACTCCAAAATTTCAGGCAATCATCATAATTCATTTTATCAATAGAATAACTTCAATATTTGGTGGGGGTGCTCACGAGACAAAAGGGCAGCACAGGGCCGCCCAGGAATTGACCTCTGCAAAATTTCAATGGATCTCTATTCGTTGAATCTTTTATAAAAAACCAAAGAAGCCATACGTTCAAAAAGACATTATCGCCCCGGTCGGCGAGTGCGAATATTTGCTGA